CCTCTTATGGCGGGTTCTATAATTATTCCTCTCAGCAACTCACAGGTAAGCCATCTGTCATCTCCTGTGGGCCTGCAGACTCGTTCACAAGCCCCCAGTGCATGCCCGGGGGGTTAGGAGATGGTGATGAGAATGGGTAGAGCATCAGTCCTCCCCTCCCACTCTCATAAGATCAGGATTGTCTCCTCCCTAGATGCTGGCAGCAGGTGCCCCAGTCAGGCTTATCCCAGAGTAGAGTGCTTCCATCATGGCTGCCATCTAGGATCCACCTGGGCTCATCCCTCTCATCTTTGCCACAACTGTGTGGGTCTGACATTCTGAAGATTTCTGGGAAAGAGGGAGTGGGGTCAGCCTAGGACTTACCACTGATCTCTTGGAGGGTCTTCCTTATCCTTTTCTGGTCACATCCTTTGTTCCTTGTCAGGGTCAGGGTAGAGGGTGGGGCACTTGAGACTCCGCACTAATCCTGTCCCTCCAGAGTTTGTGCTTTCAGGATATTCCCTCTGGTCATGATCAACCCCAGAGTAGTTAACCCACCATCTCAGAGAGTGAGTCTGTTGCTCCATAGTGAGCAAGTCAGAGTACTTCCCTGCCCTGTTTTCAAGATGGTAGTGGGATGCCTGTTTTATCTTCTCCAGTTGGATGCTGACTCTTGCTCCTCCACTGTACTCCTTCAGCAGCACTCACTGCCAGTGTCCAGCCTGGTGCTGCAGTTGTCAGACACTCTGGCAATGGTAGTTGCTCCCGGCAGCTTCTTCTTGGGAAAGTATTTGTTGATTTTAGAAAATGGTGCTCAGCTCTGTACCGCAAGAAGTGCTAGAGTGCAAGCAGAGCAGCGGTGGCACCAGCCACTTCACCAGGAAAGCCCTGGTCACTTGCTCCTGAGTCCCCACTCAGTCAACCACTCACATACCCACTTACACATAGACATGCATGCAAATTTGTCTGTATACTCACTCACACAGGGACTCACGAAGTCTGGTTGGCTCTACCCCCATCTTTTGCCTCTGACTAATGATGTTAAACATCTTTTTTATATGCTTACTGACTGCTTATATGCTTACTGACTGCTTATATGCCTTCTTTTGATAAGTCCTTTTCATGTCCTTGCCTACTTTTAATGGAGTTATTAGTTATTTTTGTTGTTGTTTTATTGTGTTTTTCTTGTTGATTCATTTGAGTTCTTTGTAGATGATGGATAGTAGTCCTTCTTTGGATGCATAAGTTGCAAATATTTTCTCTCATTCTGTAGGTGTCGGTCACTTTGGTCAATGGTTTTATTTGCTATGCAGAAGCTCTTTAATTTGATTTAGACTTACTTGTCAATATTTGTTTTTGTTGCTTTTGCTTCTGGGGTCTTAATCATGAATTTATGCGTAGGCCAATGTTTAGAAGAGTGTTCCCTATGCTTGCTTTTAAGATTTTTATAGTTCAAATTGTTAATCCATCTTGAGTTGATATTTATATACAGTGAGAGAAAGGGATTTAACTGCATTTTTCTGCATATAGTTGCCCAGATATTCCAGGATCATTTGTTAAATAGAATGTTTTTTTCCAGTGTTAGTTTTGTCAGTTTTGTCAAAGATGAGATGGTTGTAAGATAGTAGTTTTATTTCTGTGTTCTCGATTCTGTTCCGTGAATCTATTTGTCTGTTTGTGGATAAGTACCATGATCTGTTGGTTCCTGTAGCCTTGTAATAATGTTTGAAGTTTGGCAATGTGATGCTTCCAGGTTTGTTCTTTTTGCTTAGGATTGTTTTGTCTACTTAGGCTCTTTTTTCTTCCATATGAATTTAAGTCTTGTTTTTTCCAGGTATGTGAAAAATGGTGCTGGTAGTTTGATAGGGATTGTGCTGAATCTGTAGATTGCTTAGGCAGTATGTACGTTTAACAATATTGATTCTTGCAATCCACAGACATGGAATATTTTTCCATTTGTTTGTGTCATCTTTGATTTTTTTTTTTTTAGCCGTGTTTTTTAATTCTCATTGTACAGATCTTTCATATCTTTGGTTAGATGTGTTCCATGGTTTGTGTGTGTGTGTGTGTGTGTGTATGGCTATTATAACTGACATTGTGTTCTTGATTTGTTTTTCAGCTTGAAAGTTGTTGATGTATAGAAATGCAATTAATTTTTGAGCATTGATTTTGTAATCCAGTACTATACTGATGACTCTTTAATAGGTTCTTACTCCAATACTGTTCTTGAAAATGCTCTTTATATATTTAAGCATAAAAGTTAACTTATTTTTATTTTATATTTGATACTATAAATGTTTGAAATCATTGAGGTCTAATACTTATGTATTATGTTTTCTTTTTCTGTTAAGAGCCATGGTAGCTTGTTTTTTATATTGATGTGTGTGTGGTGGATGATATTGGTGTTAAAAGTGAGTACATTTTTGAAAATAAAATGTGTTATTGAGAATTCAGTACTATTTGAATAAGTTCTGTTTCTCTAGAGAAAATTTTTATATGCTGCTGTCAGCTATCTAGAGGAGCTATAAACACTGACTCACTTTAAATTCTTACTTGGAGTTTTATTGACAACACAGGTTCTATAGATTTTAAATTCAAGATCATAAGGGTACATGAGTACAATCCAGGCAAAGTGAGGTCTAATTGGAGACCCAAACTTATATACCCAATTCTAACTTGTAAGCCACATCTTTAAAATTAAAAAGAAAAGCCGGGCTCGGTGGCTCAGCCTGTAATCCCACGCCTTTGGGAGGCTGAGGTGAGTGGATTGCCTGAGCCCGCGGGTTCGAGACCCGCCTGGGCAGTGAGACCTCATCTCTACAATAAATCAAAAAATCAGCCAGGCGTGGTGGCGCATGCCTGTAATTCCGGCTACTCGGAAGGCTGAGGCGGAAGGATCGCCGGAGCCCAGCAGGCCAAGGCTGCGGTGGCCGGGAGCGGCCACTGCACTCCAGTCTGGGCGACAGAGTGAGACTCCGACTTAAAATAAATAAATAAAATTAAAAAGAAATAAAGAAAAAAAGCAATAACCTGTGGTTATGAATTTTAAGACATAACTTTATCTTCTTCCTCTCCTTATCCACTCACAGCAAAAAAGAGAAAGCATAATTCATTTGTCTGCTTCCTCTGTGGCATGATACATAGGTAGATAGATAGATAGATTATAGATAGGAAGACAGAAAGATAGATAGATAGATAGATAGATAGATAAATAGATAGATAGATGACTGTCTCACTAAGGATGTAATTCTTTGGGATTTTATACAGATGATCCTCAACTTACAGTGGTTAGATTTTCTTTTGAATCACAGGATTGTGTGAAAAATAAACATTCGGTATAACCTGTATTTTGAATACTCATACAACTATTTTGTCTTCATTTTCAATATGGCATTCAATAAATTACATAATATATTCTACACTTTATTATAAAGTAGACTTTGTGTTAGGTTATTTTACCTAATTGTCGGCTAATATGAGTGTTCTAAGCATGTTAAAGGTAGACTAGACTAAGTTATAATGTTCAGCAGTGTAGATGTATTAAATGCATTTCCAACTTAAAATATTTTCAATTTACCATAAGTTTAACAGAATGTTACACCATCGTAAGTCAAGGAGCATCTGGATATTTTTATGACTCTTAGCTTTAGTTCTTCATCTTTTTTGAGCCTGATGTCTTATTTTAAATTATCTGACAAGATATTAAATTATCAGGTATGGCTAATAACCCCGGGGCAGGTATTAGTTTCAGCATTTACTTACCACTATACATTTGTGTTTTCATAATTACTTTTCCTTCAAAAAATTATCTTCTTTGAAAATTCAACTGTTTTTAAGAGTACTCCATTAATGTATACAACTTTGTAAGCAAAAATTTTAAAAAATATTTTTTGGTATATTGCCAAAAACCACAGAAGGATTTTTGTTGGTTTTAAAATAGTATTTTCTTTACACTTAATTTCTCAGATCTATGCACTCTTAATGTCAGTTACTTTCTTTCCAAAACCAAAAACACATGAAAAGATACCTACATAAACAAACTCAAAAAAGTTGATAAAAATTTAAGTATTTTTGTGTATGCCATTGGTACCTATTGATTACTCATTATTTTGAAGAAACACGAGTTACCTATTAAACTTGGTTTTAAACAAGTTCTAATACAGACACTACATACATTTTGTGACAAGAGCATTCTATTTGTTAAAGACTTTAATTCATTTGTTTATTTGTATAACTGATATACACCAATCAAGTATACCAGTAGAGATAGTCTGTGTAAAGAATTTTTATATAATCCATATCCAGAATATTTATTAAACAAGTAATGGAATGTTGCTATATTGCTTACAAAAAATGTTAGAATATATTTGAATGAGAAGAGATGAATGACAGACAGATCAATGAGTAAATTGTTAAGAGACATGAATTAAATAATATAACAGTAAATATTATTGAGTAGTTACTATATTAAGTACTGAGGATATAGTGAGAAATCTTAAGAATATATAAGAGTAAACTTATAATCACAATATAATGAGTTTTATAATATAAGTATGTTTAAAGTGGTTTGGGGGTACTGGGAAGGATATTTATTTATTTATGTAAGGCATCAAGGAAGGCTTTCAAGAGGAGTTAACACAACCTGAATGAGACCTAAAAGATGAGAAGTTAAAAGATGGGACAGGGTACTCCAAACAAAAGCAATGACAAAACCACAGTCCAGAGGCATGGAAAATATATTATATTTGGGAAATTGCAAGATTTTGATTATCTGTTTCTTTGGACTAATAAATATGAAAAACTAACCAGAAAAGATACTGGAGAGATAGACAAAGATATTGAATCTTACAGTACAGTTTGTGCCTTCCTAAGAAATTTAGAATTCAACTGTGGAGGGTACCTGAAAACTTGTAAATGAGGTAGTGACATCAGAGAATAAAGATCTACTGTAGAATGTCTCCACCAGTTAGAAAGTTGCTGAGGATGGATTCAAACAATAATTTTCTTTGTCTTATAAATAGGACCTCAGGCTAATGCTACAACCCCAGGCATATTTCCTTCTACTGTTTATTCAAATATGTAAGTATCTAAGAAAATTAATGTGTAATCATAAATCAATGTTTTAATAATTATATAAGAAGGCTATTCACAAGCAAATGATTACATAGAATTCTCAATTTTTGTAGTTCTACTTAGATTTAGGAAAATTTTGTATTTTGAAAACTTTCAGCACTAAGATTAAATTGCTTACAAAGTGTATCCTTCTCCTTCTCTATCTCCTTATCCGCACTGTGGTTCTATGCTCTGCATTTATTCCAAAAGGGTCTTTATGCCACTTTTAAGTGTATCTCTACCACATCCTTTCTTCTTCAGATGGCTTTTCATGATATGGATTTTATTTCTTTGTCTTTATCCCCTTTGAAACATTTGCCATTCTTTATGCCTTTGGGGATTATTGGCATCCTATGGATATAAAATCATTTACAGTATTAATGGCTTAATCAACTATTCTTCCCTCAATGGTTATTTGCAGTCTAATACAAAATAGTGATCACTATCAATGGAAATTGTCAGCCCTTAGAAGAGATATTTGTTTAACTTTGGGAGTTTTCATTCCTCTAACCTTGGTGACCACCCATTCTATTGATTATTACAACATAGTTTTTGTCACTGAGTGTTTATAGGATATATGCTACTGTAATAGATACAGGAGAAAACTGACTAGTTCAGTTCAAAGCAATAAAATGAGGAAAAATGATATCCACTTGTAGACAATAAACAGTCTTGTATTTATTTGATGAATACGTTTGAAATTTTGGGAAATATAAATACTCATCTTCTTAAAAGAGATTAAAAGAGGCTCATAATAAAGTCTTAATTGCTGCATTTTTATCTCTCCCTACCTAAGAACACCCAACTATAGAATCACTTGAATCTTTTATAGAAAACACGTTAGATGTTTTTTCATTAAAAATCTTAGCTTAGCTAAAATGAATAACTACATATGTGACTTGGGGCTTCTTCACCACTCCTCCCAAATTCACAGAGATAAGATATTTTAGCTGCATATCCACTTAGCCTAACATTAGGTCAGAGCACAAACAAAACACAGCTAACCAGACTGACAGGTCTGGTTCTGCCCATCACACAGCTGTCACATTCCTCTTGTTCTGATTTAACTGTAAGTTTCATAAGACTTCTGTGGAAGCATCACATTTGCTCTATCATTAACCTTATTTCTCCTCCCCCACCTGATGCCTAGTTCTCTGTTTTTATTTATTTGTTTAATGTTAATATAAAAATTCATAAAATAGAGATGAAAATTCAGTACCAAGGGAATGAAGACAAAGCAAATATGATAGCAGTGGGAGGAAAGAAAGTTGCAATAATTAAGCTTTGTACTTAGATAATGAGCAGTTTGTATTGTTTAGATAGATAGTGTAAAGAGTAACAGAATTAAGATGGCAATACATTTACCACCCAGAGCGCTGTGGTTAGAAACTTGTAGCTTATTTGTTGAGTGACAGTCTGGAAGTTTGTATAGGGGGCGGATTTTATGGTCAAGTTAGCATACACAATGAACAACTCTGAAAGTAATATATATTCAACAAATTAAAAGTAGTTAGGGTTTTGGTGGTCTTACTTTTCCAGCTTCCTTATGTGATTTGTTAGGCTATTAACTTGTGACCTTTCCATTTTCTTCATGGGTGTTAATAGAGATATAAATTCCCCTCTTAGAACTGTTTTCATGGCATCTCAGAGATTTTGTAAGATGTTTCTTTGTTTTCATTTGTTTCTAGGAATCTTTTAATTACTGCTTTAATTTCCATGTTGACCCAGGAGTTGTTCAGCATCATGCTGCTTAGTGTCCATGTCTCTGTGAGTTTGGGAGGAACTTTGTTAGTGTTGATATATATTTTTATTCCACTGCAGTCAGAGAAGGTTCATGGCAGTATTTCAATCTTATGAAATTTGTTTATGCTTTATTTATGGCCAAGGATGTAGTCAATCTTAGAGTACATTCCAAGTGGTGATGAGTGGAATGTATATTCTGTGGTTGTTGGGTAGAGTGTTCACCCTAACTTCAGTCAAAGAATCCAGATCACCAAAATAAATGTTCAAATTTGGGACATAGATGACAAAAATATAATACAAAAAAATAAACAAAACAAAAAGCTGATTCTTTGAAAGGAAATACAAGATTGATGAACCCTCTAGCTAGACTGACCAAGAAAAAAAGAGAAAAAGTCAAAGTAAATAATCAGAAATGCAAAAGATCAAGTCACAACTGATCCCAAAGAAATACAAAAGATTAGCAAGGCGGGCTTGGTGGCTCAGCCTGTAATCCCGCACCTTGGGAGGCTGAGCTGAGTGGATTGCCTGATCCCACAGGTTCGAGACCTGCCTGGGCAACTTGGCGATACCTCATCTCTACAATACATCAAAAATCAGCCGGGCGTGGTAGCGCGCACCTGTAGTTCCAGCTACTTGGAAGGCTGAGGCGGAAGGATCGCCGGAGCCCAGTAGGTGGAGGCTGTGGTGGCCGGGAGCGGCCACTGCACTCTAGTCTGGGTGACAGAGTGAGACACCAACTCAAAAAACAAAAAACAAACAAAAAAAGATTATCAGACATTATTATATACACTTGTATGGAAACAAACTTGAAAACCTAAATAAAATGGAGGATTTTCTCAAATCACACAACCCACCAGGTTGAAACAAGAAGAAATTACGACCTTAAATAGACCCATAACAACCCAGGAAATTGACTATGACATAAGAAAACTACCTACAAAAAAAAAAAAAGCCCAGAATTCCACAAAACATGTAAGGAGGAGCTGATACCTATCCTATTGAAAATATTCCATGCAATTGAAACAGATGGAACTTTCCTCCAAATCAGTTTATGAAGCTATCATCACATTGATACTCTAATCGGGTAAAGAGCCAAGAAAGCAAGAGAATTACAGGCCAATATCCTTGATAAGCATAGATGCTAAAATTCTCAGTATGACTCTAGCAAACCAGATCCAACAACACATCTCAAAAATCATACACCATGACCAAGTAGGCTTAATCCCTAGGATGCAGGGCTGATTCCACATCTGCAAGACCATAAATGTAATTAAATATATCAACAGATGTTAAAACAAAAACCACATGATTATATCATTAGATGTGGAAAAAGCTTCCGATAAAACTCAGCACCCATCCTGATATAATCCCTTGAAATCTAGGCAAAGATGGAACATACCTCAAAATATTAAGAGCCAACTATGATAATTCTACAACCAACTTACTGCTAAACAGGCAAATTTTGGAAACATTTCCCCTTAAAACATCCAAGACGAGGATGCCCACTCTCTTCCCTCCTGTTCAACATAGAATTGGAAGTCCTAGCTAAATAAATCAGACAAGAGAAGGAAATCAGGATATCCAAATAGGAAAAGAGGAAGCTAAGTTATCCCTCTTTGCAGAGGACATGATTCTATACCTCAAAAACTCAAGAGAATCTGTCAAAAAACTCTTTGCACTAATAAGGACTTTGGAAAAGTCTCAGGATGTAAAGCAAACATGCAAAAGACAGTCTCATTCCTATACACCAACAATATACAAACAGAAACCCAAATAAAAAGCACAATCCCATTCACAATATCCACAAAGAAACCAAATACCATGGCATCTTCCTAACCAGAGAAGTGAAAGAAATTTACAACAAAAGGTACAAAACACTGCTCAACAAAAACAAAGGTGACACAAACAAATGGAAAAATATTCCATGTTCATGGTTCAGAGGAATCAACAATTTTATGATAGCCATCCTACCAAGGACAATCTACAGATTTAATGTAATACCCATTAAATTACCAGCAGCATTCTTCTCAGACCTGGAAATGACAATACAGGAATTCATATGAAAACATAAAACCACAAATAACCAAAACAATCCTCAGCAAAAAGCAAACAAACAAACAAAAAAACAAAGTGGGAGGTATCACATTTTCAGACTTTTGAACTTTATTATAAGGCTGCAATAATTAAAACAGCCTGGTATTGGTACAAGGATAGGCATGTAGACCAATGGAACAGGATAAAGATTCTGAAAGCAAAACCTCAATTTCTCAACCAACTCATCTTTGACAAAGCCTCCATCATCAACCACTGGGTCTAGGAGAACCTATTCCATAAATGGTGCTGGAAAAACTGGCTGACCACATGCAGAAGATTAAAACAAGAACTCTTGTTATCACCATACACAAAAAATCAACTCTAAGTAGATCAAAGACCTAAACATAAAACCTCAAACTATAAGAACCTTAGAGAATTCAGGAGACACCCTTATGGAAGCTGGAACTGGCAACTAATAGCTGATCAAAACCCCAAGTGCCCATGCCATAAGAGATAAGACAGACAAGTGGGACCTCATCAAACTGACAAGCTTCTGCAAAGCCAAAGAAACCATCAAGAGAGTGGGGAGACAGCTCACAGACTGGGAAAAAATATTTGCTAACTGTAGACCTGACAAAGGCCTAGCATCTAGTATCTACAAGGAACTCAAACATGCCAAAAAGAAAAACAACAACAAACAAACAACTACAAAAAAAGTCCCATTAAAAGTAGGCAAAAGATATGAATAGACACTTCACAAAAGACAACATAAAAGCAGCCAACAGATACATGAAAAAATGCTCAGCCTCTCTAGTCATCAAAGAAATGCAAATTAAAACCACACTGAGATGCCACTTAATGCCAGTCAGTATGGCCATCATCAACGACTCAAAAAACAACAGATGCTAAAGAGTATTTGCAGAATAGAGAATGCTACTACACTGTTGGTGGGAGTGTAAACTAGTATAGCCTCTACAGAAAACAGTGTGGCAATTCCTAAAAGGTCTAAAAATTGGTCTTCCATATGACCCCACAATTCCCCTACTGGAAATATACCCAGGGGAACTCAAATCACTCTACGAAAAAAATACCTGCACATGCATGTTTATTGCAGCATTATTCACAGTAGCAAAAACATGGAACCAACTGTGCTGCCCAGTAAACGAGGAATGGATAAAAAAAAAATGTGG